GGGATGTATCCTCAAGAAGAACTTGCCTTGTGCCTAGTCATCAATGTTGTGTTTTCCCGACTAGTTGTAGGCAGAAGAGACGTATTTATTTTTTCAACACCCCATCCTGGGTGGTCTCGAGTTTCCATCAATGACCCTCTTTTGCTCAGAATCCTGGGGCTTGAAATCCAAACATCTGGAAGGAGCCAGGTCAGGGAAAACAGTGCTTTATGTTTGTGCTAAAGCTTGTCAACCAAACCAGGAAACAGTTCAAAATCTGCTTAAACCTGGGTATTCTTAACTGTAATCTAAATCTGCCACCGTCTCTCCTATGGTTATTTATCTTAACACTGTCTCTGTTTACAGAAGAGTTCATTCTAACTTCTGGACGTAAAACTGGCTGCTGAGACCAACTGAGTCTTTTCGGCAGCGTTTATCACTCTGCTGAGCTGAAAGTTTTCACCCTTACGTGCTTGCAGGGGTTTGGGATTAAAAAATAAAAAGTTTGGGGAATATTGCTGTTCCCACTGCACATAGTAACTGCTGTCCCAAATAACTCACTATACATCTGTATATATTTGTATGTGAGTGAAAAACAGGACAAATCAGATACCTATCACAAGGATTCAGAAAGAGGAAAATGTTGTGTGCTGCTGTGGTTTAATATTTGAGTATTTGAGTTTAAATCTTTTACCCATTATTAATAAGCCATTCCTAGTGTGTTGAACGCGCACACACCCTCTAACTTGCGGTAGAATGAGTTACAAAGCTGTGAAGAAGTCTGGATAGGGTAAGGTTAATTTGTGAGATACAGGCTTTACAGGCCAGATTTTATCGCACAACATAGACAAAATGAAAAGGAGATCTATTGATTTACAGGTAGTCCTTGACTTACAAACCATTCATTTAACAATGGTTCAAACCCTTGCAATTATGTGATTGTAATTTTGGCACTTGGCAACTGGCTCCTATTAATGATTGTAGCATCCTGCAACCGAGTCATTGTTTTAGCCCATTTCTGACAAAAAGGACAGCCATTGGGGAAGCTGGGTTCACTGAACAACCATGGTGATTCACTTAACAACCACTGAAAAAAAATTGCCATAAAATTGAATCCAACTTGACTCGTGACTGCAACAACTTACGATGTGAATTCTGGTCCCAAATGTCATAAGTTGAGGACTACCTGTAATGGATTGATTCATGGATTCATCAATTTGATTTGTAGTCAGCCTTTCATTCAGGAGATCAAGGTGGATTACATAGCACAACCTCTTCCCACTGTCCCCACACCAAGGTAGCCTGAGATTTTATGACTGGCCCCAAAGGCACCTTGGGTACTTCCTAATAGATGAAGGAAACTTCAGGATTATATTCTAAAAACATGGGGTGTGTGTTTGAATGCATATTTTTGTATGCATATCTATACTGTATTGCAAATGGAATTGCATTAGAATTCAGTTAGCTACTCTGTTTCCCTGAAAATAAGGCCTCCCCGGATAATAAGCCCAATCGGGCTTTTGAGCGCATGTGCAAAATAAACCCTCCCCCCAAAATAAGCCCTCCCCCAAAAATATTGCAACACAGCAGCAGCCATGAGGTGACCACACTCACTGCCTCCTATACCTCAAAAGTAATAAGAACTCGAAAATAAGGCCAAGTGCTTATTTCAAGGGTTAAAAGAAAATAAGACAGGGTCTTATTTTCAGGAAAACACTATCTAAATGAATAGGAACCAAAAAATAAGTTTTATGAAAAAAGCACTTCAAAACCTTTTGGGGGCCTGATAGATTGTACAGAAATTGGGCCTTTTGCTAATTCATCACTCACCCTGGGCCAACATTTTAAAAGCCTTATTGCATTATTCATGCTGGTACTAATGTCCACTTCAGTTTGTTCCTTTTTGAGGCTGCAAACTTACACATATTGTTTCATTGCAACTTGCAGTGTTTACTGAATAAAATGATACATTAAAAAGTTTATAAAATTATGAAAAATGATACATTTGATCATTTACTCCCATCCCAATACACCAAATTTGCCAAATTTTGGTAGGTATAAAAACAGTTGCATCCTGCTATTTAAATCCATGTGTGTCTACATACAAAATATGGCCTGGTATACTACAATATGAGAATGTTTTATGACTCCAGAAATAAAGGTTGTCTTTAACTTGAGGGGGGGGGCACATACATTTTTGGCCAATTAACCTGCAGTCCTTTTCAGTGTTTAAAAAGAAAAGTTGCCCAAAATATTTTGCTTTTGTTTCTACTACATTTAATTATTAATAGTACTTGTTTATTGAATTAATGAAATTATAGGCCTATATTGCAGTTGTAGGGAAAGGGACAGTAGCTCGTTTCTTCACTAAATTAATTAATCTAGAATAAGCATCAAACTAGGAAATGATGCATTGATTCAAAGTCAATAAATGTCTTGCCTTCAAGAAAATGGTCAGCAAAAATAAACAGATGACAGTCCCAGGGGTAGCAGAATAGCCGTGCCATCAAAATGAAAGTAATCGAGTTTAACGCTTTCCCACTTTTAATCTGAGGCATATCCTTGATGTTTACAGAAAAAAAAAGAGACGAGTGAAGGGGAGTGGGGTGTCTTTTAAGGGAACTGCATGTGGCCCAGTATAGATGCATTGCTTTCTATATCTGATGATAAAACCCTTGGGATTAACTATAAGAAAGTTATGGTTAAATCCTGAAGAAGGAACATTTGAAATGGCAAAGAAGCAGCAATATAAAACTTACGCTTTTCTATCTTTGCTCTTCCTATGAAATTTCATTAGCTGTTTCTTCATCAACTGCTTTAAAAGTGATTTATTTATATTGCTGATAGAATCTCACTGGAGAAACATTCTTAGCCCAAAAGATGTTAAGGTTGCTTTTTGGGAACTAATTGTATGACACACACACACATCCCTTGTCAGTTATGAATGAAGAGGAGTGGGGTGTCTTTTAAGGGAACTGCATGTGGCCCAGTATAGATGCATTGCTTTCTATATTTGATTCTGGACAAATATTTACCATCATTCGACAGATTTGCATGTTTGCCTGAGCAGAATTAACCACAGGGAAAGATTATCAAAATGTTAACTAATCTCTCTTTTCTATATATAAATGGCTGTGTGTGTGTATGTTACAGCATAACTCTGGAATTCCTCGAGCAATTTCAACCAGAATTGGTACACAGATGACTTAATCTCTGGAAACAAATACTGTGGGAGTAAGACACCCCTCTGGGCAAGGTGGGGGGGCAGTGTGTCTGTTAAGATACAGCCTGTTGTGCCTTAAAATGGCTTCTACTATACAACAGTGGAGTTGCCATGGTAATGGCTTCACAGTACTCCACAAGGGGGCTTCCTCTGGTAAGGGGGAAAATCCAACTTTAGAAATTATGTTTGTTCTGGACATTTCCCCCCTATAAATAAATGCCTGGGCAACTCCAGGTTATCAATTGTAAGACTTGAACAAGTGGATCAGTGGCTGCAATTAATCTCTGAAACCTCAGTGTGCTGCTAATGCAACTCAATGACTCCTATCACATCATGTGTACAAAATAATGGGGAGATCTAAGCATGCTTATTTTGAATAAGCCAGTAAGAGTGACTTTCTAAGCAAATCAGCTAGTATTGAATATAATTAAACAAAATCAGCATTGCAGGATTTCCTTTAAAGGCTCAGAACAGAAGGATCTAGTTAACATTAACCATAGCAAAACAGTGATTTCATGTTGCTCTTGAAGTCTGTAAAGATTCTCAGTCATCCAAGTCATAGTCGTCCCAAAGGTCCTTTTTCAGGAGGCTTTCTTGTTTCTACTTTGAAGACATTTCACTTCTCATCCAAGAAGCTCTTCAGCTCTGACTGGATGGTGAGGAATGGAAGGATTTATATGCTTTGCAGACAGCTGGTCATTTGCATCCTTTCCAAGTGCTTCAACGACCCTCTAAAATAATGTAAATGACCAGCTGTCTACAAGGAATATAAATCCTTCCAGCCTTCCAAACTCACTTAACAAATGTTTCATTTAGCAACATAAATTTTGGGCTCAATTGTGGCCGTAACTCAAGAATTACCGCATATTCAGATCTATATCACCGTATATGCTGGCTGTAACAATTGATATATAGATGTTTTGGTTTCTTCTATTTACTGTAAACTGCCAGCAAGTCCCAATAGCACATGTAGCATTCAATTGTAAGACTTGAACAAGTGGATTAGTGGCTGCAATTAATCTCTGAAACCGCAGTGTGCTGCTAATGCAACTCAATGACTCCTATCACATCATGTGTACAAAATAATGGGGAGATCTAAGCATGCTTATTTTGAATAAGTCAGTAAGAGTGACTTTATAAGCAAATCTGTTTTCCTAAACATGATTACTCAAGATATTCTGGTAGAAATCACGGGTAATATTTAAATATTTAGAATGCTGAAATATTTAATTACTTTAACCCCTGGGAGATATGACAGCGTGGTAACCGCTGTTCAGGGAGCAAAAAGTAATTTGTTCTTCCAGCCGCTCTGACTTCATTAGCAAACAGCATCAGCACTTTGCCCCGCTTTATTACATAAAATCTGACTGACTGCAATATGATTCCAGCGGAGCAATGTAAAAATAAATATATGTTTTAATATATTGAATTCATGGAAAATACAACAAGGGATTTTTTAAGATTATGGCAGTTAGCTGTTTCTTATCATTGAGCAAACAGAAAACCTTGACTATTTATTGATGAGTATGTTTACTGATCACAATGCTGATCAATCACACTGCTGGGTAGAAACTTTTCACAAGTTGTTCGTCTTATGGTTTCATCTTTCCGTCAGTAACTGAAAATTAAGTGCATTCAGAGGGTTTCGTGGACTAACAAGTCAAATTTATTTATATTTTTAATGCAACGCCCTTTTTTTAAAAAAAAAACAAAACAATAACAATTCTGCATTATTACCATGATATTGCCGTAGTAATTTTTTTTACTAAAAGCATGTTATTTTCTTTTTTTGCGACAGAAAGAACTGTGCAACATGATTCTTGATTGTTGTGCTCAGCAAAGAACATACGAAAAATTCTTTGGTTTACTAGCTGGGGTGAGTTGCTACTTGTCATTGCTTATCTCCCTTGCCATTCCTTCCCCCTCGCCATGTCTTTCAGTCTCTCATAAAGAGGACTCCTTAGCAAAAGTGTTTTTTTCAATATCATTTATGGTAACCTTTCATTTATGGCCTAGCTGTTATATTTGGAAGGACGAAACAGAGAGTGGCATCTTGAATTGCATGGTTTATTAACATTGCAAAATAGTACCACTGTTGAGGAAAAATGGGCATCTTCCCAGGTGTTTTTTCTTTTTTAAAAAAATATAAGTATGGTAGTATGATGATGTAATTTCTGCATATTTCACTTCCAAGGGGGATTCCTGTTTTTCAATATGATTCCCACATTGTAGGCCTACTAGTAATAACCATCAGTAGTAATAACCATCAGAGCAAATGCTGTATTTATGGCAGGCTTATCTTTGGCAGTCAGTTCAAAAGGGAAAAGTAAAGCTAAAAGTAAGCCTGAAGAGGGTCTGTGCTGATGTAAGGGAAGCCAGCCAACCTAAAATAAGTGATTTTAGTGATGGTCTTTCCAGTGGTAATATACAGGTAGTCCTCGACTTACAACAGTTCATTCAGTGACCGTTCAAACTCTCCAACGGTACTGAAAACATAACCATTTTTCACACTTACGACCATTGCAGCATCCCCTTGGTCACATGATTTACATTGAGATGCTTGACAACTGACTCATATTTATGACGGCTGCAGTGTACAGGACCTTCTGACCCAGATTCCCTTCATCACCATGTTATCAAGTTAACAACTGCAATGTTTCATTTAACAAATGTGGCAAGAAAAGTTTAAAAAAAATGGGACAAATTTTTCACTCAACAACATACATTTTGTGCTCAATTGTGGTCGTAAGCTGAGGACTATCTATATAACTGTGAAAGCAGTACACTGAGGTAGAGTGAGGGAAAGAACATAGACATCATCTAATTGTCTATTTGAAGAGAGAGGGGAGAAACTTCAGTCCAAAACCAAATACTGATTGTTTCCTTGGGGTAACAGTCAGCAAGCCAAAAACTGAGGTATGTGGGGATGTGCGGAGATGATGGCCTAGAAATGTTCCTTTGCCTGGCAATGTTGGAGGAAGTAGAAAGGGAAGGCAATGGAAAAAATGGGTCGATGGAAAAAGGTAAGTGGAATGTCCACTCGGCTCCCCAAAATTCTCCAGCTAACTATTATTTAAATTGTCTTCTTTTTATGTTTGGTTGTCTTTAGAAACAAACTAGTATTAGAAAAGAAACCAGTATGGTATTCCTCCACTTATGACTGGTCCCTTAATGACTATTCAAAGTTACAAGGGACCTGCCCCCAAAATACATAATGACTCTGTTCTAATGTTCTGATGGCAAACCCTCCCATCCTCCACATGGTCATATGACCGCTTTTGGGGTGCCCACAATTATTGGCATCATCCCATGGTTACATTACAGCAATTTACAACCTAGTCCTGGTGGCGCAGTGGTTAGATTACAGTATTGCATGCACACTCTGCCCATAGCCAGAAGTTCGATCCTGATCAGCTCAAGGTTGACTCAGCCTTCCATCCTTTCAAGACTGGTAAAATGAGGACCCAGATTGTTGGGGGCCATATGCTGACTCTGCAAACTGCTCAAAGAGTGCTGTAAAGCAGTGTGGATCGGTATATAAGTCTAATTGCCGTTGCTATTTTCCCCGAAAACCAGCATTTTCTTTCAGTTTTGGGCAAAAAGACCCCTTGCAAACAATGAGTTTGCTTAACGATTGTGATGTTTGTTAAGACCACAGACTCACTTAACTGCAGTGATTCGCTTAATGACTGCAGCAAAAAAATGTCATAAAATTGGATCAATCCTATGGGTGACCTGCTTTCCGACTGGCATGACTTAGGACAACAATGGGCAGGCTCCATTATGATCATAAGTCGAGGTCTATCTTTGGTTTTCCTTTTTAATTTTCTTTGTCTGTTTAGTCCTAGCACCCTGCTGAAATCAGGGTTTTTTTCCCCTCATTTGATTTTCTTCACTGTGTTTTTATTTTATACTTAGCGCTTCTGTATGTTGAAAAAAGAATACATGGAGTCATTTGAAGCAATTTTCAAAGAGCAGTATGATACCATACATCGGTTGGAAACAAACAAGTTGAGGAACGTTGCCAAGATGTTTGCTCATCTTTTATACACAGATTCACTTCCATGGAGTGTATGTAGCCAACATTTGTAGCCTTGCACTATGCATTGGGTTTTTGATAATGGTTTTTTTTTTAAAATTTATTTGAACCTACAGATGTAAATGGAATTAGTTCAAACACATGTTGAGAGTGAAGAATCACACTGACTTTCAGTCTGGCAAGGGATGTGAGTGCTTTAGAAAGAGAGGATTTCTTGAATTTTAGGAAAAATTGAGATAGTTTGTTTGCTCGGCATCCAGACTTGGCTTAAGTGATAACGTGAATGTGTTTTTGTAAGATGGCCATTCCATTAGCAAATATTTATCGCAAGGAATATGCTACCATTCAAGGATATCAAAATTCCTTGGGGGAACAAAGGAAAATTAGTTTATTTTAAAGAGGAAAATAATATTTGGCATTTAGTTATCCCTTCTATTTGTAGGTCCTTGAATGCATTTCTCTAAGTGAAGAAACGACAACATCATCCAGTAGGATTTTTGTTAAAATATTCTTCCAGGAGCTTAGTGAATATATGGGACTTCCTAATCTTAATGCGAGGTTGAAAGATGAGTAAGTAACAAATTATATTATACATTATTTTTCTAATATCTTGTTTATGACTGTTTATATTTTTGTCAGATTTGTAAAGATTGAAGCTGATAAGTAGCACATAGTTTTCAGAGGGAGTTAATATATTTTAATAAAAGGTAAAATCTCTCTAAGTCTCAATAACTTACATGGGTATGTCCATGTTGTTTCTTTGATTACAAAATGGAAAGAGTTTGACATTGCCTTCTTGTGGGATTTTGTTTTCAACTCTCAGTTTGTGTATAACACCTTTTGAAATTTCTCATGTTCTCCCATCCAAGTATTAAACCTGCTTATCTGTATTGAGACCAGCAAAGGCATTGCTTCCAAACTTTATCAGCTTTGAGATATATGGACTTCAATTCCCAAGAATTTGGGGGAGTTGAAGTCCACACATCCTAACGTTTCTGAAGTTGAGAAACATCGAGCTACAATAAAAGTAAATGATGTCACCTGCTGTGATGTAATATTGTGGTAGTAAGTGTAACTCAATCTGTGTAATATAGATCCCAGTAAAAAAAAAAGTGACCTTTGCTTCTCTCCTGACTCTTCCCCCATTTATATATTGTACGGAGGAGAGGGGTCCCTACTTTTCCCTTCAACTCTCATATTCTGTTTCAGGCCACATCTGCTATCTCCATTCATCATCCTTAATCCTTTTGTTTCCTTATTGGATGGCAGTTGCAATTTTTGCATGGCACCACATAGGGGCATGTGGCACCTCTGCTTCCTAGGGCCATTCTTTCTGTCACTAGTTGCCTTAGATCTCTACGTAATGAATTTAAAAAAATTGTATTCCTTCGGAATGTATAGCAATGGCAATAGCACTTAGACTTATATACCGCTTAACAGTGCTTTACAGCCCCCTCTAAGCTGTTTACAGAGTCAGCATATGGTCCCAAACTGTCTTGGTCCTCATTTTACCCACCTCAGAAGGATGGAAGGCTGAGTCAACCTTGAGCCTGGTGAGATTCAATCTGCCAAACTATTGGCAGACAATGATCAGAAGCAGCACTCTAACCACTGTGCCACCCTGTATGCTTCCAGTAGACTGTATATTTATGGAAAAAGATGACTTTTTCAATAGGATTTTGAATTTAGTAAGATATAGATTTCTGTAGTTGCAAATATGTGTAAATTAACCTGATTGTTTTAAATATTTCTAAACTGGGATCAAAATACTTTGTGTGCAGCATTTGAAATTCTCGGTCTTAGGAATGATTGCTATGTTTGGTTTTTAACAGAACCCTGCTACCGTTCTTTGAAGGACTATTACCACGAGATAATCCAAGAAATACTAGATTTGCAATCAATTTCTTCACTTCAATTGGCCTTGGAGGACTGACGTAAGGAAAAAAAAACATTTTAATTTATATATGTACATGCATATTTAAATAGCCCCTGTGAATCTGTCACATAATAGGATCAGATGATATATAGATAGATTTTGGATCTGATCGTATGTACTGCATGTTAGGGAGTGAAAATATATTCAAACTTTGCCTCTGATGTCTCCAGGCTATCCATGGGAGACAAATGCACAAGCAAGGCCTATAATTCGAAATCCATCTGTGCACAACTCTGTGAGATCAATATTGCGAGAAATCTGACAATTCAACATTTTATGTTGGTCTTCATGTGTTGGTTCTGCTTAAACACTCTTACTAATGCAGGCAACTTTTTAATCATTGAAGGCTGCTTTATGTTTATCTTGCGTTTTTTTCAGCGCTCAATATCATACTAGGAGCAGGGAGAAATTGCAATTTTCTGCAGGTTTTATTCTGAGCCGGTACTAATGTGGCTCTAAAATGTAAATACAAAGTGTTAAAGTCCTCAAAGACTAAAATACCGGGAGGGGGGCGGGGGGAGGAAGAATCACACTGCTAATTCTTTGTTACCAGCATTAGGTAGAGATGCATTCTCACCAGACATGAGCCTAAGGAGAAGATATCATGTTGGCATTGACTCCACCATCTCAAAAAGAAATTTAATTCTGGATGGAATTCGGTTGACAGTGATTAGTAAAGTAATTCCTTATCAATTCAGCGAGATTTTTTTTAAATAAGGCTACATTCAGAAATACAAGACAGAGTACAACTCAACAAACACTTAAGTTATTTTTATATATCTCCTATTTTGTTCATTTTTTAAAAATAGCGACGAACTACGGGAACACCTGAAAAATGCACCCAAAATAATAATGACGCAGAAGCAAGATGTGGAGTCATCTGATTCATCTTCAGAATCGGGGACATCTGATTCGGAGGATGATTCCAGCAGCAGTGAGACCTCAGGATCCTCTAGTGGGAGTGAATCCACTTCCGACAGTTCGGACAGCAGTGACTCAGGTAAAGCTCTGTCTTCAATCCATCACTTTCTTTTAGCATTGGGCCATTTGTTCATGTAGACTGCCCTTTTTTTTTTTGGCTTGGAGGTAATTTTAGATGTCTAAAATCTGCAAACATTGCAGAATAATAAATTGCCTGACTAAAATGTAATGGATGGTGCATATAAATCTTTTAAGAAACATCAAGACGGGTTTAGGTAGAAATGTTATGCTATAAAATGGTTTAATATTCTGGAACTATGGAATGAGATTAGCCGGATTACCTCTTTGAAGCCTGTTCTATCACCCTCACATCGGTTAAAGGATTATGAGTTTTCACATGTCAGGTTTTTAATTTTAAAGTATGAAATGCATATGGAAGCAAAATGTCTTGGAAAAACATTCTTTTTCTTTTTAAAAAAAAACAATCACAAAGGCAGGGAGGGGAAAGTGAAAACTGATGTGACAGTGACAATATGAAGTAGCTAATTTGCCCATGTAGTAGAATCCGCACATATTTACAGTAGGTCTTTGAGTCAATTCAAGTTTATCTCCTACCCAAAATACAAGTGGTCCTTGAGTTAGAACCACTTTTTCAACGACTGTCGAAACTATGGTGCTAAACAAGTGGTACTTAGGACTGGTTGTCTGACTTCCAGCCATTTTAGTATCTTCCAATGATCATATTTTCCAATATTCCTGTTGGCTTCCCACAAACAGAGTCAATGGGGAAGCCAATTGGAAGTTGCAGTACCTAAGATCCTTGCCTAACAACCTTTGAAGTCCCCTGTTAGTGACAGTAACTGGGACTGCCATTACTAAGCATTGAGGTCATGTGACACGACCACTTTGTTTAGGGTGGCAATTCTGATCCCAATTCCCATTGTAACCTGAGGGCTTTTGTAAGTATTTTTGGAATTACAACCTTACTATATATTTTTTTAAAATAGTTAGCTGGAGAGAAAATTCTGATATGATCCATTCTCTTGATTTTGTTCCCACAATTGCAGATGTATTGTAGTCTGAAATTCACTTCTTTTTCATCATTTTTAAAAACACACTCTCACAGACACAAAAGTAATAACGTACTTGGGTATTAGTCAAAACAAATACATTCAACATTTTAAGCTGTTTTGTGCTGAGATATAAATCTGCTAAAGTATGCACGATGAAAACACCATGGTGAAGCCCCTCAGGCATTGCTAAAATAGAAAAGCTTTATTTTATTTGCCTTTTTTATTAATTAAATATACGATATGCAGTTGTTTTTGCCGTGCATTTGAGGCTGTGTAAAAAATATTAATAGTTATTCTTAGATTAATGTAATGAAGCCCAGTGCAATGCAGCCTATTTTACATTTTATTACATATTATCCTGCTTTGCTAAGATTTATTACCCGACAGCATGGTAGTTGAACATTTCCAATTTATATTTACTTTTTTTTCAAGTTTTTTTTTTTGTGTGTGTGTGTGTGTGTTTTTGTAGATTTTCACGGGTGTAGGTATGCTGGTCTTGTTGTATTTGGGTCTTTTCCCATGTAAGATTTACAGTATCTTGGCGACGTTTTGACGAGGTCACACTTGTCATCTTCAGGCTGGTGCCTTTGGCTTCATGCTTGTGCGAGCAAAGCATGATCAGGTGTGTGTGTGGGATGTTGGCTTTGTTGCTTTAAACGGATTGGTTGGCTGTATTGTAACATCTTGATTGGTTGATGAAATTGATGTTTGGTAAAGGTGATTGGTGATGGTGTCCTGTGTTGTTCTGGGTCCTCTATTGGTTTTTGTGGTTGGGACTCATTTATTGATTAGGGCTGATTTCCAGATGTCTGGTAGGTGGGAGGTATCATCACGCTTATTCATGTTGTGAGGGTGTTTATTTCGATAGCTTCCGTAATTATTCTCTTGTTGAAGTGTTCAGTTTTGGAGAATAATTTGGTTCCTTCAAAATCAATTTCTAGCTGGATCTTGTCTTTGGGGTTTCTTAAGATGTTGGCTATTTTTCGGTTAGTGCCGAAGGCTGTCTTGATATTGTGTTTGTGGAGAATTTTGCTAATTTTAACTGTGGTGCCTTTGATGTAAGCGAGGATGCCATTGTCCTGTTCAGTTTCTCAGTTCTTGGGGGATGTCTCCCTTTGGATTAGGTTGGTAATTGTGGTTTTTTTGGAATCCGTTGGAAATTAATATTTTTGTGAGTCTGTGTAATTCAGTTTTCAGGTGGTTTTTGTCAGCTAGGCATTTGGTTCTGGAGATGAGGATTGGCTACGCAGTTGATCTGTGCAGGGTGGTGATGGGATTGTGCGTTTAAGTAGCGGTTGGTGCGTGTTTTTTTCTGGTAGAAGGTATGTCCTAGGGAGCCATTGGGTTTCACCCTCACCAAATATCAATTCCATAAACCAATCAAGATGTGGCAACACAGCGAACCAATCCATTTAAAGCAACAAAGCCAACATTCCACACCCACCCACCTATATTTATAGAAAAACGGCCGCTCCGATCACGCTTTGCTCGCACAAGCACGAAGCCAAAGGCACCAGCCTGAAGATGATGAGTGTGGCCTCATCGAAACGTTGCCAAGATACTGTCAATCTTACACGGGAAAAGACCCAAATACGTCAAGACCTGCATACCTATACCCGTGAAAATCTACGAAAATGTCTTTGTGTGCGTGTGTGTATTCGGACCTTTTCCCATGTAAGATTGAGAGTATCTTGGCGACGTTTTGACAAGGTCCCACCCGTCACCTTTAGGCTGGTGCCTTCGGCCTCATGCCT